AGCAGTCACAGTTTCTATTTTTAAAACGCAACACAATTTCCCTCAGGATTATGAAGGCTAATATGAGCATGAGTTTATAACAAGTGTATAGTCAGCTCTACATATACACAACAAGTCTATCAGAACAAAAGTGTTGCGTGTCCTCATTAAGCATTAGGTGTGTGTGTGTGTGTGTGTGTGTGTGTGTGTGTGTGTACAGTATAAAACAGTGAGTCAGTGTATCTTCCAGGAAACCGTTTCAACTCATGTGCAATTAAAGCAGATCATTAAGAGCTAAAATGAAGACAGCAAAATAAATGACCAGAGACTCTTCCTGCTGTCAGACAGAAACTGAAGCTATTTGCTTCAGGTTTATTTGCGGCTTTATACTTCAATTATTTCGGCTTAGTCTCTTATTTATCAGGGTTCGCCACAGCGGAATGAACTGCCAACTATTCCAGCATATGTCTAACACAGTAGATGCCCTTCCAGCTGCAACCCAGTACTGGGAAACACCCACTTATACACTACAGCCAATTTAGTTCATCAATAGCGCATGTGTTTGGACTTGTGTTGGAAACCGGAGCACCCAGAGGAAACCAACACAGGGAGAACGGGACTCGAACCAGCGACCTTCTTGCTGTGAGTGCTAACCCCTGAGCCACTGTATTCTAAAACATTTCAGATTAAGTTTGACTCTATCCTCAACTTATAAACTAGTGTTTGTGAACGCCTCACGCATGCAACATGAGCAATAGTCTTTCCTGTTGCTCAGTCAGAGGAAGAGAGTTGAGAAACGGTGAGTTTGTGTTGAAACAGAAAGAGTAAAGTCACGCTCTGCTAACCCTCCTGAAGACCTCCTTATCACTTATCTAAAATTTAAGATGTTTATGACTTCTCCGGCATCATAAAGCATCAGATCTGAGTTCAGGATCTGCTGTGACGTCGCTAGAGCTCGAGTTATTGTATTTATTTCAATTTTATGTTTATTGCGAACAATCATTTGAGCACAGTCATACTTTATTGTCACATACAGTCCAAGGTGTGCAACTTTAAATTATATGCAACTTGTATATGCAGATGTACTATTGACATAGGTGGTTTATCTATAGGTTAAAGTCATACTTTGAAAGCAGAAGTAAAAAAGAGAAGAAAGAAAATCTAAAAAATAAATAAATAAATAAATAAAAAAATAGATGAAAAAATAATAAAAAATTTTAAATTTTTTTTAAAAAGGCTCAACTATATGCATCTAGGGTAAATGCATGTGTCCTAAATTTATTATTAATCAATTATTTAATAAAATATATTTATTTATTATATAAATGTATTATATATTAATAAATTTATTTTAAAATGTCAATCCCGATAAAAAAAATACAATTATGCTCTTTAATGTATATATTAACAAAAAATTATTTACATAACCCCAATTTTACTTTATTAAAAAAATTATGTTCCTCAATTCATAAAATATCTAATATAAAATTGTATAATGATAAAATTAATTTGAAAAAAATGCTCTTGACTATATACACAATAACCTATGTAAAACAACATATTAATAAATAAATATTTAATTATAATTTTATATTTAAATGCAATAAAAAATATAATTAAACTTTAACTAAAAAATAATGATCTTTGATAAGTTATATATAATTAAATGCAAATAAAACTAATAAAAATCCCAATTGAATGTTTTAATTTAAGAAAATGCTCTTAAATAAAAACATAATAACCTATGTCAAACATTACACATAAATAAATTTAAAATAAATAAATAAATATATATATATATATATATATATATATATATAATACATATTGACAACTATTTAATTAAAAATAATGCTCTTTAATAAATTATTACAAAAAATTTTATGAAATTATTTAAAATAAAATCACAATTCAATAATTTAATAAAACAATTCTGCTCTTCAATGTATACAATAACTTATATTCAAACAAAAATATTTACAAAATGTTAATTTAACCTTTCTTTAAAAAAATGCTCTTGAATACATACAATAACTAATATAAAATTATATATTACTAAAGTTAATTTAAAAATCCAAATTTAATGTTTTAATTAAAATAATGCACTTGCATATATACACAATAAATTAAACAATTGTTTAATAAAACCAGTGCTTTTTAATACATTTAAAATTCATAATTAAATCACAACTATTTAATAATAATAATGCATTTTTATAAATGATATACAATTATATATAAATAAAACTAATTTAAAAAAAATCACAGTTCAATTATTTAATAAAAGTAATGCTCTTAAATATATAAAACATACTAAATATTGTTAAAATGAATTAAAATAAATGACCTTAACTCCTTACAGAAAAGTCTCAAATGACCTCTACTATGCATATATAGGTATTAAAGAAAATGCATACATATTCCTAAACATAAATCCATGTGCATATTTACACATCAGCATATATCATACACATATATTTAACATTTATCCATCTATTAAGCATCTACTATTCATATATAGAAACAAATTCTAACCTATTTCCAAATACACACACACACACACACACACACACACACACACACACACACACACACACACACACACATCTCCTTCTTTAAATTAACCACAAATAACTTCCTTTATTTCTCATATTCAGTCTGAATGATCAGTTTGTGGCGTTTCAGCTGTTTGACTGGAGGGCAGATCATTTTTCCAGCTCAGCCTTTATAAAACAACCCAGTGTTTGCAGGAGCCGCTGTCAAAACACACACGTTTACTTAAAGTCTTAATAAATGAGGACATCCTGCGCAATATGGATATAGAGCTCACATTAAAGTTATTAACAGCTGTAGGGATTCATATCAATATGTAGGCCTTCCTGTTTTGAGTGTGACTGAGAGTGTGTTATTATTTTTAAAGTATTGAAAGCGTCCCGCTCACACTTTCCAATAAGGTTTCATTAGTGAATGTATTTACTAACATGAAATAATTATGAACAACACATGTACAACATTTACTAATGGGTTATATGTAACTTAAAAAAAGTCTTATTTGTTTTATTTCGGCTAAGATGAAAGCAGTTTTTAATTTTTTAAGGTCAATATTATTAGTACTTTTAAGATATTTTTTTCTGATAGTCTACAGAACAAACCATCGTTACACATTAACTTGCCTAATTGCCCTAACCTGCCTAGTTAACCTAATTAACCTAGAGTCCTGATAAATATCTAGTCTAATATTATTTACTGTCATCATGACAAAGATCAAATGAATCAGTTATTAGAGATGAGTTATTAAAACTATTATCTTTAGAAATGTGTTGAAGAAATCTGCTCTCCGTTAAACTAAAATTGGGGAAAAAATAAACAGGGGGGAGAATAATTCTGACTATAACTGTATATTTATTTATTTATTTATTTTCATTTAGAGCTACTTATTTTGCTCTAAAATAAATAAATTGTTGACTTTATTTTTGTTTTTTATTGTTGTGTTTTTGAATATAATATATTATTAAAACAGAGGACTTAAGACTAAACAACACTGCTTATTTTAACATAAATTAAAACATTTGTCATTCTATTGTCATTTATAGAAAACTAATTGCTCTAAATGAAAATGTTATTATTTGAAGTTTGGAAGAAATGTTATCAGAACTTTAAAGAATAAAACAAATAATACATTTTTATTAAAACACTCAATAAATCCAGTATAATCAAAAACAACTGAGAATTTCTCAAGTGGTCTTGTAATTATGTTCAATAGTGTCTATCTGCCTTTCTTTCTGTCTGTCGATTGATCATCGATAGATAGATTAGATAGATAGATAGATAGATAGATAGATAGATAGATAGATAGATAGATAGATAGATAGATAGATAGATAGATAGATAGATAGATGTTTAATAAAACTGTTTTTGGGTAAATTAACCAAATATATGACCTATATTTACAGAAAAATTGATAAAATATTCATTTTCAAAAAAAAAAAAAAAAAATCTATCCATCCATCCATTCATCCAGAAAAGCAATAATTACTAAGAGCTATATATTAATCATATTTAATAGTAAAAAAAAGAAATACACTAAAGATCCATAATGATTATTTTTGTAATTAATTACCTGATAATACTGTAAATTAACAGAAAATACAAATAATAAATTATATATTTTAAATATATTTTCATTGGGAGCAATTTAAATTTTATTTTAAAATCATTTATAATATTATATTATTAATACTAATAAGTTTTAACAGAAAACTTTATACTTAAAATAACCCTGTTTTTAACATAAATTAAAACATTTGTCAATGTATTGTCATTAGAAAATTAAATTCTCCAACTGACAATATTATTACTTAAGATTGGAAGAAATGTTATCAGAACTTTATAAAATAAAACAAATATTAACATTTTATTAAACACATAATAAATCCAGTGTAATCAAGAGAGACTGACATAGCCAATATATTTATTAAAACGGTTTTGTGTAATTAAACCAAATATATTACCAATATTCACAGAACAATGGATACAAATATTAATTTTCAAAATCTATCTATCTATCTATCTATCTATCTATCTATCTATCTTAAAATTAATAATTTGTATAGGATGCTTTACAATATTATATTTATGCATATACATTAGATTAGTCAGTACTGAAGGCAACATATCCGTTTAATTAAACTGTTTTGTGTAATTAAACCAAACATATGACCTATATTTAATGAACAATGGATTCATATTTTCAACATCTATCTATCTATCTATCTATCTATCTATCTATCTATCTATCTATCTATCTATCTATCTATCTATCTATCTATCTATCTATCTATCTATCTATCTATCTATCTATCTATCTATCTATCTATCCTCCATGACCTTATAAACCGCGTTTTCTTTATTTTTGACTACTTTTTCCCCACTTTGAGGACGTCTCTAAATACAGGAAAAGGGTCAAACATCACAGACAGCCCATAATAATCAGTATATTGTAATGGAGAAGCAGTTCTCACCGTACTCGGAGCTATTTTGTTCTTCCTCCTGCTTCTTTTTGCCCATTTCTCTTCACTTTGTGTTGAGAATGTGTTGAAAGTGTGTTGTGAATAACCCGCGCGTTCATGTGTCGAAAACAAACAGAAATTAACGGATCCTTTACTGCCCTCAGAGTCGAAAAACTCCAGTATTTCCGCGCGTTTCTCGGTTTCTGTGTTGTCTGTAAATCTTTCCTGAAGTAACTAAGCGCTGCTGTGACGTCACGTGGTGCACCTGCTGCTGGACGCGCGCCATAGACTCACCTGTGTGCGCGCGTTCACGAAACTCCACCCGAGCGAGCGCGTGCGCGTTCTCTGTTGGCGAATGTTCCTAGAAGGGATACAGCTGCGGCAGGAAGAAAACGAGAATTATTTCTAATATTTACCGATCAGTTGTATTTTATGAACGTCTACTCTCCCCCCAACCCTAAACACGACCATCACAGTAATGAAAAAACAGTGATTAAAAAGATAATTACTCATATTATTTATTTAATTACCCATTGAATTGTATTCTATTAATGTCTACCCATAGCCCAACTCTAAACATAGCCCTCACAGTAATGTAAAAGCAGTAATTATACCAATTATTCATTTTATTTATTAAATTACCGATTAAATTGTATTTTATTAACGTATACATCTCTACCCAAGTCTAAAACTAACCCTCATAGTAATGTAAAAACAGTAATTATACCGAGAATTATTTGTTAAATTAACTATAAATTGTATTTTATTAACATCTATCCCTACTCCAACCCTAAACACAACCCTGACAGCAATGTAAAATTAATATTTGTTGTTGTACAGTCTCACAAAAATGATGCGATTGACCCGGGTATCCGCAGCTGTATCCCTTCTAGACTTTACCCGACTCCCGTTCAAACAGGGTTGCCAAGTTTACAAATTTAGGCAACTTTTAACTACTTTGTTAGCTGTCATTTATTCCGCGGGTTAAAAGTTTGGCATATTGCATTAATTGTATTATTATGACTGGCCTTGTTGAAATATAAAGTGATTCAAAAGATGCTTTTACGAATAAGAGTCCACAATCAGCGTTTTTACGGTTTTAAACCTGGCAACCCTGGCCTCAAACTTGAGGGCTACATTCTTTTCTCGCGATTCTCAGCTTTAATTTTTATTTTTTATTTTTTTATTTACGTTTTCAGTTTCATCTAAATTTGACAATCAAGCCGCTCTTTGACACCAGAACACTGATATAACATTCAAATTTAATATTAAAACATTATTCATTTCCTCAATGGGGGAAATAGTTTAAAACACAGATCATTCAGCAGCTCTGACGTTCTTATTTGCTGATTATTGACACTAGTGACGCTTAAACAACACAATTGTGAATAATGAACACACAGCTTCTGTTTATAATCTGTACAGTTGGCCATTAGCCTGAAATCAGCACACAGTACAGTAAAGACTGATAACACTGCGGCTGCTTTATTGATTTATCTGTACAGTAATGAAGACTCTTATTAGACATGAGTAATACAAAACCACTCAATCACACACTTGGTGAATATTCATTCAAGTCG